ATATTGATTATATTAATTTTTGTGTTTATCTATATATTAAATTTGGTAGTTATATGAATACAAATGGTCTTTGGTTCAATGGTACTCCTTACATTATGATAGTTTTGCCTTCTTGAGATCGAGGGTTTAAGTCCTCCCCCCCCCCTTTCCCACCAAAAAAAAAATTGTATTGGAATGTATATATGTACAGGATATATAATATTGGTTACGAATGATCCATATTAATTAAATTTTTTTTTTGTGTCGACATCGTTACCGTCATAAATTTATCTTCTATTTTTTACGATAGTCATATATGGTATTTGAGACAACACTTTTGTCGCTGTGATAAAAATAAAAGTGTCGGATTTTTTGTGACAACTTACGACATGATCTTGCCGTCGTAAATACTATTTGAGACAGACCGTTGCTACCGTAAAAATCTTTTGAGACCACACTTATTATGACGAGGTAATGCCGCGCACAAAAGTATTTATGACGACAAATAGACTTTTATGACAACACTTACTGCCGTAAAAACCTTTTTTTCTTATAGTGATATGACAATAGTTCCCTACTCTTCAGCAGTTGGGAGTCTAATGTAAGCAATGATGTGTACAAGGCCAGGCATTGTCCATGCAATGGGCATGGTAAGCAGATTTCTTTCCAATCCAGGGAAGGAACATTGGGAAGTGGTCAAGTAGATTATCAGATACCTTAAAGGTACATTGAAAAACTGGGTATACAGACTTGTGTGACGAGAGAGTTGAACTAGTTTTGGAAGGCTATACAGATTCAGATATGGCATGAGATCTTGATGGCAGAAAATCTACATCAGGATTTCTCTACGCTTTTGCAAGAGAAGTTGTGTCATAGCAGTCAAGGATGCAAAAGTGCATAACTTTATCCACAACAGAGATAGAGCATATTGCTGTAGCGAAAGTTGGTAAGGAAATATTGTGTTTAAAGCGATTTTTCTAAGAACTGGGTATTAAGCAGAAGGAATACTAGATACATTGTGATAGTAAGAATGCTCTGAACTTGAGCAAGAACTCAATATATCATTCCCGGATAAAAGCACATTGATATTCATTATCATTGGACATGCGAGGTGCGTGAAGATACATACAAAGGCGAATCCAACAGATGTGTTGACGGGAGAAGTTTGAGCCTTTTAAAGGCGTAGCTAGGTTGACTGTTTAATTACATTCTCTTTTGAGGGTTTTGGAGGGGGAGAATTGAAGGATCCAAAAGCCTTATCCCAATTTTTTTGTCGGTGTTTTTGCTGGCCGAAATTTTTTGAAAGTACTTTGTTTTTTTTGCCAAAAAATCCCTATAAATAGAGAGTTAATGAAAGCCAAAATCATTCATAAAATTAGTGAGGAAGAAATAGAGAGAGAGAGAGAGATCCTGGAGAGATCTTGAGAGTTTTCTTGTGTGAAAAATTCTTGTATTTATTTCCAGAGAGAAATAAATAATTCCTCATTATTTATATTGTATTAGATATTTATTTTTTGGCCCTGGTTCACCAATAATAATTTAGACTCTCAAAAAAATTATAACTTAAACTTTAAATGTCATAACTTTCGATATGGTACCGTAGTCATTTCCATGTATTGTGATTATTTGATTAAAAAAGAGTTCCATCATTGAACAAAATGCACTACCAATCCAAAACATTATGTGTAAGTGGTCCTCATTTTGAAAATACAAAGCAAGTAGCACTATTGTACTTTTAAAGTGCTCCTTATAAGCATACCTTATTTCTTCTTCTTTTGTTCAATGGTCAAGAGTGATCGGTTCTACTTATACGCACTTTGATAAATTTTTCATCGATTTGGTCACAAACAGACTATCCACGTCGAGACTAAGGTATTTATGAGGAATAAATTCATCATAATCTAATTCCAAAAGATTGTCAAAATTTAACTAAGAACGTTTTACAACTCATTTGAGTATAAGGTTATTTCTTTTACCACCCAACCATTGAACAATTTTAACAAGAGTAATATTACATGAACTTAAAGTAGATTTAAAAAATAAACTTGATAATCACAATCATTGAACATATAATGAGTCTCAACCGAAAAAAATGGGCCTTTCCATGGTTGATTTGTGGACTTTGGATTGATGGAATTATTTCAATATTGTAAGGTAGGTCTTTAATCACAGTTCACTGTTTATTTAACGTGATTATGAATCGATATTTTTGACTAAATATCTAAATTCGAATGTTCGAATTTTAATATATTGCTATCCAATTCAATTGTGATCTAATGAAATCCCGATGAAATGAAACTGAAAATTGAAACGTTATTTGTCAGATTGAGCTCTATAATTATTTAGATAGTACAAGATATTCAATTCAACTTTCTATTTTTACTTGACGTATGAACTGTGAAATTAAAATTTGTCGAAAACTTAGATAAGATTAAGAATCCAACTTTTAAACCTCATTCGAATTGGACATGTTTCAAATGTCTTAGACGAAATGGATGCCTTTTTATGTTTCTGGGCCTCGGCCCGAGTCATCTGCAATCTAAACAGTTTTTTCTTTTTTTCATTTTTTGGTTTCTGCTCGTCCATGTCTCAAATTAGGGACCTTCTACGGTACCATCGGCAGGGGTGTTCATCTTATCATACGGGTAAAAAATATAATTTTTTTATCTAATACTTTGCGGTTTTTTTCTTGGCCTACTCTACCTAATCAGGTGTGATATTCCTATCTGATTAAGAAGTCGGGTTAACACTTTGGTAATTATTAATTTTTGGATCATTTTAACAATTCAATTAAATACCATGCACCAATTTAACAATACAATAAATCAATAGTACTAAAATTTAAAACAACTACAACAACAATTACAAAAAAATATAATAAAATATGAACATCAATTTATCATAATTGTTACACAAAAACAATAACAATTATTTTAAGTTTAAACCATATGAAACACATTAAAATCACAATTACTCCAATAGATTAACAGTTGACCACATATCATGCAACATACACAAAAAACAAGTACATGTTTTTGCAACTCAAACATCCACAACATTTATAATACAAATTATATCACATAAATACTCTTATAATTAGTAAAAAAATATAAAAAAATAAATATATTTTTTTGCGAGTAGGTTAGGGTAGGAATACGAAAATTGATGGGTATTCTGCATTCCTACCCTATTTAATTGAAAAACCAAAAATTTTTCCGCATCCTACCCAATTTTTGCGATTAGTCGTTCAATTGGGTAGAGTAGAAAATTGCATCAAATCAGAAATTTGAACACCCATAACCGTCGACAGTACTGGTATCAAAATTTATAATTTTTTAAAGTTAAATTATAATTTTTTTGAAGTATAAGTTAAAATTTCAAAAAACATGATCGATCATGAAATGTTAAGATCGATATCACATTTTGCATGATCAATCATTAGTGCCTGTGTTCGATCATGACCTCCCTTAAACAGTTGTAATTCCTCATTTTAAAGGTATAATTTTATCATACAAAGTAATAATTGACGGTACCGGTGCGGTAAAGTTTCCCTTCAAATTAATAGTCGTTTTACGAAAATATTTTGCATACAACATAATTGAAGCACTGCAACATAATTGATGGGGGTAGCGAGACGGAGCTAGGATTTTACCATAGCTAAATAGTGGCACAATCAATAATGTTTTTACTAGAATCATTCAACATTATTGTTAATGTTAAATTTTTAATTATATAATATTTATCAAAATTAACTTTAGCATGATATTACTATAAAAGTTACTTTTCAATTGGATCAAAGCGGCAAACATTAAAAATTTGTGCAGCAAAAGGGCTGAAATTAAAAAAAGAATGAGGACTAAAAGGATAGAACAATTAATGGACTATTATTGCACTAGCAATGCACTACGTGCGTTGTACGTGAAAATTTTCATTAAAACATTTGATTAAATACATAAAAATTTAATTATATAGTTAAATTAGATATTATCTCATATTTATCATATTTAAATTGTTTATATTGTAGAGGAAGAGAAAAATATACATATATCGATTTTTTGAAATTGGATATGATATTATATCAATAAACTTGTCGATATATATTAATATTGGGGTGTTGGTTTTGGCATTGAAGATGATATTGTATCAATGAACTTATCGATATGTATTAATATTGGGGTGCTGGAAAAAAATAATAATATTTTTATCTAGTATATTTAAATACAAAAAGAGATATTAGCCTTTATAATTTTTTATAAAAGTAAAATAGTAAATCAAAAATTTTTCATATTAAGATACTTTTATTAGTGGTATAGATAGATATAAATTCTAGTTAGGCCAATAACTATTACAAAGGGCTAAAACATTTAACGTTATTTTCTATTATTAAGTTCTTGTTTTAAGAACCGCTAATAAGTTTTAAAGATTCTGAATTGTTCTTTTCAAATTTTCTAAGTGGTAAATCTCTTGTAATAAATTCAAATGGCACTTAGTACAAATAATTAAATGCTCAATCAATACCTAAACAAGAAGCCAAGTAAGTGTTAAAAATAAAAATTGAATAAAAGTAATAAAGAATTTAAAAATTAAATACTGTTAATAAAAGAGTCCAAATGCACTTTGAAATCAATGAAAGTATAAAAAATAAAAATTAAATGAAAGTAATATGTGGGTATTATTGACTTTACAATAATAATTAAGAATAAAATTAAAAATTAAAAAAATTTCACAGATGCTAAGTACTTGTGAGCTGGTGGAGCAAGAAAATCTAAATTAGGAAACAATCAGGAAAAAAAAAGAATGTGGAATGTACGGATGCATTGCAAAAATAATTTTTTAAATTTCAAAATTAGAATCTAAAAAAGAAAGAACAATAGTGAGTTAGCTTGCTTTTTTTAATTTTATTCTATGTTTTTATTTTCAAGCAAATGAAGATAAAATATACAGCTGATAAGAACTTTTGGTGAGGTACTTAAACAATAAAGGCTCCCACACCCTCTATAAAAAGACTCACCTATTTCTTTACTTGATGTGCACAAATTAACTTGGACCTATCCCGTATCCCACAAATGAAGGCTACCAGCATTTTAATGTTGGCCCTAGGGGTGGTGGTCCTCCTCTTTGCCCGCTCTCTTGCTGATCATAACAACAAGCCAAAGCTTGTAATTCCCTTTAATGGTTATGCTACAGAGGATGGGAGGCCAGAAGAGCACAAGTTACCAGTCTTAGGTGTTGAAACCGATGAAGAACAGAAGCCGAAAACTCTACACCAAAACATTCATTCGGAATCGATAACGGTCAATAAGTGGAAGCCTCGGCGTCCAACCATTAGTCCACTAGGGCCTCCAACCACTAGCCCGCCAGGGCCTCTAGGGTCAACTCTTAGTACTCCTCCGAAAAGGTCAAATCATCTTCGTACTAGTCTGATAAGGTTTCGTCCGACAAGACTTCGTACTCCTCCAATAAGGTCACCACCAACTACTATTCCTCCAGGGCCTCCAAGGTCACCTCTTAGTACTCCTCCGAAAAGGCCACCTCCTTTTACTTCTCGTCCGATAAGGTTCCGTCCGATAGCGGTTCGTACTCCTCCGATAAGGTCACCTCCAACCACTATTCCACCGGGGCCTCCAAGGTCACCTCTTAGTACTCCTCCGAAAAGGTTCCGTATTCCTCCGATAAGGTTCCGTACTCCTCCAATAAGACTTCATACTCCTCCAATAAGGTCACCTCCATTGCGTTTTGGTAGAAGGCCACGAGGACCACCAAGAGCACCCCTTGTGCCGTCTACTAAATAATGTTAAAGGCTAGATCTATATGAAATTATCCATCTCCACTTAATTTACTAAAATAAAAGAGATGATAGAATAAGAGATGTTCTCAATGTTTATCCTTATGTTATCTCCTAAGGGAAGAATTTCCTTCACATTATATAGTTTGCAAGGATTCTTTTGGATGAAAGTGCGGTTTATGATTCTTGATCACTAGCATTATACTTCATACATGTTGTTTTGTTTATTTGTTAATTTATTTTTTAATGAATAATCGTTCTAAACTTGTGACTTATGGGCATCAAATACATCATAACTCGAACTTATTACCTTAAAAGTAAGACTCCGATGATGTTTTTCGCCAGAGTTGGAAGCTGGGTTGGGGGACTTTGAAAGGGTAGAGAGGAAGGGGAAAGCAAGAAAGACAGGAGAAGAGAGTGTGTGGGAAGAGAAAAAAAAAACGAGAGGGAGGAGAGAGGCAATGTAACACAGCGACAGAAGAAAGACAAATGCTTAATTTGGGAGAATCAATTTTTTTTTATTGAAACGAAAGGAAATCGATTAATGAGAAATATCCGCGAGAAAAAGGGGCACTATCAAATTTAGAAAATTTTGAGTAGAGTTGGGGGAGACAATTATTCGGGGAATTAAATTTGGGAGGTTAATTTTGGAAATTAATTTTAGGCAGTAAAAAAATTTAAAGAGCTATTTTGGCACATCGGATCGAAGTGATATAAGATGTCAATAGATTGAGATATCGTCGTCCATTGAATGAGACATTATTTTATCACGAATTAATCTCAACCACCTTTTATCTTGAAATTCAAAACTCGTTCTACTTTATTATATAGATAAGATGAATGCAATAAGTAGGCATTTCCTATTTTAAATTTGCTCTCAATAGGAGTTATTATAATACTACAATGAACTAAATGCAATGATCTGATGAGTTTGAACTAGATTAGGTGAGATGCTATGTGATTACTTCTGTTAAATCATTTAATTGTATTTTTCAATTGAACTAAGGTGACATAAATTAAACATTTGAGCAGGTAAAGCGACAATATTAGAAGAATAAAGACCAAAAGGATAAAACACGTGTGACCATTATCGCATCTTGCTCTATTGGTTCTGAAAATAAGTCAAGGCCAATAACTAGTAAAGAGCATCTCCAACAACCAATTTAATGTTATTCTTCAAACTTTTTAGCTATTAAAGTGAGGATTGACAAGAAGAGGATCAAAGTGTCGTATGATAGGTCAATACTGTCTTTTAAGGAAAACAAATATTATTTGGATTTAATGCTAGAACTCACTATTAATTCTGATGGGCCGGCCCAAAGCAAACCCAAAATTATGAACTATGCCCAGAGTCATAGTCGGGGTCCAGCTTGGAGGCCCAATTTAGGATGGCAGGTCAGACCCAGTACAAGAAGGGGGAAGTTAGTTCAACCACGTCATCTTGAAATAGGGTCAAGTCAGTTGCACCATGATGAGAGACTTAGTCCATAATTGACTGACAGAGGAATCTCCTTGTGACACACATGTTACCACCTTTACAGAATTGTCTCATCTGTTACGAGAAGAACGCCACCTCCACCAAACTATCTTTAGTTGATATGAGAAAAATACCTCAATTTGTTAGGAGACGCCTATAAATTGTAAGTCACACCTATACAAGAGGGATATCACACACATATTTCTAACACTTGAGCACCCTACGCCTTGAAGCAATAAAACATTCATGTCATCCTAACCTTTTACAGTGGAGTAGGTCACCTTAAAATTATGTTTTGCTTATGTTAACACTCTTCATTTATTACTGCATTAAATACTTCACAAATGATACATAAATTTACTTTTGTGTATCATCAAATCCAATTATTACTATAATAGATAGCAAAGTAGTAGTCTTTTTTGAGCTCTAAACCTCTGTCTCTCATTTCTTAAATTTTTAGTTATTTAGATTTTTAAAAATCGTACATGGCACCTTTCTATTGGTGAGTCTGCTATTAAAAAAGGCATAGAACATTTAATGTTAATTTCTACTATGAAGTTCTTGTTTTAAAAATCTTGTAATAGAACTCACTACAACTAATTAAATGCCCAATCAATGCCGATGCTAATCTCTTGTTGAGGGAAATAGAAGTTAAGCATGTTTGTCCTAGTATTTCTCACCATCAAAGCAATTTAAAGCCATTTTCTGTTATTAATTTCTTAAAACTCTCTTTTTGCAGATTACATAATAAATGTATATTTATATCTATATTACTTATAAATGTCAGTATCTAAAAAAAAATTTAATTTCCTAATTTATTTATATTTATTATAATAAAGTCAATTATATTCACTAATATGTTTTCATTTAATTTTTATTTTTTTACACCTATTTAACTTTTAACTTATTTTGGACTCTTTTATAAGGACTTTAAATTTTTTTTAAACTCATTTATTAATAATACAACAATCCAATCAATCCGTTTAACAATCTAATCAATTTATATAACAAAATAAAAATTAATAATTTTATAATATGATTAGATGTGTAAATGCTTAAAGAGGTCAAAGAGATAATTAAATAAATGACAAACTAGATACTCAAAGACTTATATAATAAGCTAATAATTATATTTTGCAATAATTAAAAAATGAATTAATTATTCAACACCTAATTTATTATTTAATTTAATTATACATATAATTCACATTTGTTATAAATAAATATTATTTAAATTTATTTACATGCAGCATATGATGCTTTGGAAATAAATTAAAAGGTGGGATAAATTGACACTCGAGCTGTGATCTACAACTGTTGCTTTCCGATTCATAGACTTAGAAAACAGAAAATGGTTAATTTCGAGAGTAGTTTAAGTGGTAATAGGGATGGATGATATTTAGACATCTTGAGTTTGAATTTTGATAATTTATTGACGCTAAGTCAAGAGAGATTTATCTCTCATGAATATATTAATTCCGATATGATGGCTTGTTTCACAAAAATAAAAATAAAAACAAACAAAAAATAGAGAGAGAAAATCCAAATTGGGAAACTAAGAAAAAATATATATATAGAATGTACGGAGGAGTCACAAAAAAAATTTCCAAAATAATAAAAATTGGAATCCTACTATTTTTAAATATTATATTTTCTTTTTTTCATTCAATAAAAACACGACACGTGTAGAGTTAGATTATTATTTTATTTTATTCTATGTTATTATTTTCACAATTAAGGACTACGCGAATAAAATTTTTTGGCGTACTGAAAAATAATTTTTTAGTACCATCACAGTAATCCAAAAAATTAAACGGTCAAAGAGATAATTTTGAAGAAATCGAAGGGATAATGAGCCTCAGGCCTATAGAGTTGTCTATTGTACCCAAAAAAAAAGAAAAAGGAATTTCGATATCATACCTCTATTTATTATATTTGTGAATGTTTTTATTATTCTTATAACACCGAAAAAGTGAAAAAAATAGCTACTATAATAGTGAAAAAAAATACCCACAAATGTAGTAAATCACTAACAAAAGTGATAATTTTTTATGTACCGAAAAAAGTGGCAAAAATAATTATCACAAAGGTAATAAAAATATCCATAGCAGTGGTAAAAATACCAACAATAATGATAAATCACTCACAAATATGATTAATTTTTTGATTGTAAAATTTAAAATGAGCCACAAAAATTATAAAAACACTCATTAAAATAGTAAATTTTAGGGGCACCGTAGCATTTTTTTTTTTTTTTTTGTCACAAGTAACAAAGTACGTTTGTCTTGGACCCACATTTATACAAACTGTGTCGCCACGTGTCATCTCCAAAGGCTCTCACACCCTCTATAAAAAGGCTATACTTGTTTACTTGATGACAACAATTGACTTGCGACCCACCCCAATATCACAAAAATGAAGGCCACCCATATTTTACCGTTGGCCCTAGGGGTGTTGATCCTGCTCTTTGCCCACTCTCTTGCTGATCATAACGACAAAATCATAGATGAAGAAAAGGTTGTAACTTTCATTAATGGTTCTGCCATAGGGGGTGGGAAGCCACAAGAGCACAAATTACCAACCGTACTGGATGAAGCTCGTGAAGTACAGAAATCGAAAACTCTATCTCAAAGAATTGAACCAGAATCAATAACAATCAATTGGTTGAAAAAGAAGCCCCGTTCTCCAACAAAGTCAACTCCTCGTACTCCTTCGACAAGGTCACCTCCTCCTCGTACTCCTTCGACAAGGCCATCTGCACCACGTATCCCAAAAAAACCAAGAACACCAAGATATCTTGTTCCGCCTTCTTCTAAATAATATTCGAGGCTAAATCTATATGAAATTGTCCACAAACTTAATTTACTAAAATAAAAGAGATGATAGAATAAGAGATGCTCTCAATATTTATCCTTATGTTATCTCTGTGGAGAAGAATTTCCTTGACATTATAATGTTTGCGACAATTCTTTCAAAGAAGATGAATGAAACGTGTGATTTATGATTCTTGATCGCTAGTGTTTTACTTCAAACATGTTTTTTTTGTTAATTTATTTTTTAACGAATAATCATTTTAAACTTGTGACTCATTGACATCGGATACATCAGGAGTCGAACTTATTACTTTAAAGTAAGACAACGACGATGTCTTTCAATTCAAGCTTATACCCTTAATCTCAAATCAATTCGATACTCCTTTTTTTTGGTGTTTATGATGTTTTTGTGAAGTATTTTTCAGCAGGGATCCTATTGTATTCCATTAATTTTTGTGTTCTCTATCCTTTGTCTTTTACTCCTCTTGCTCCTCCTCTCTCTAGCATGTTTTTTGAGAAGCATTTTTTCGGCATCTCTCTCTCCATTTATGATGGATTTTATGCTTTTAGCTATAAAGCACGAATACTTCAGTCACGTTGAAGTATCCATGTCGGAGTTCTTATACTCTCAATACACAATCAATTTTGTGTTTCGGCTTAATGGATATGTGTGATACTCTGAAATGGAATATCATGGGGTCAAATATATCCAAAAGCCTATTTTATTCCCATTGTCATCTTTTAGATAAGCGCCCACAATGTACCGGGCTAACCCAAACCGGAATTTTTAGACCCAAGATTGTAGCTAGCTAGGCTACTCAGGCTTTGACCAGTTAATGGGTTGGGCTCAATTCAGCCCGTCAAAAAAAGTTAGACCCGTGGTCTGTTCAAAGTGTTAGGCTAATGGGCCTCAAATGGGTCTTCTAATTGAAAAAATTAAGTTTTTTGAAAGTCGGTACATTTAATTAAACTTATTATTGTTTAAGTTCGAAACTGTTTTTGAAAGAAGTCCATAAATGAAAGAAAAAGACTACGCTACCTTTCAAAACAATGCTCCAGTTGCCTAACCGGAATGGAAAACCCATAATCTCATCTCCTTTATTCATGGCAAAATAAATAATTTCCTTAACTCACTTCCTCTTAATCTATAACAATTGGGTATTTGTGTATGTGTGTGAGAGAAAGATTTTTAATATAAGAAATTCCTAAAATTTAGGAGTTTTATAAAAAAATAATCTAATATGGGCAAGATCTAAAATTAAAGGAATTTAAAATTTGTTTAAGTTTTGAATTTGGCTATGTATCTTATATTAGAAAGAGAAAGACTTCTAATATAAGCAAACTCTAAAATTTAGATGTTTTAGTTATCTTAAATTTAGCAAAATAATACATGAATCCTAGTTTCTATTGGACGATATTGAAGGATTTTTTTTAATGATAAATCACATGCTTTTGGAATTATGATTCTAAAAAAAAAACATTTAGCCTATATACTAAGCAATACAGTCATGTCACACTATTTATCCACTCTAAAAAATGTTCATTTTTACGGTTATACCTTCAATAAATACTTCGTTGACACAATTTGTAGTTACACACCCTATATATTGATCAAATATCATTCTATGTTGTTTTGCTAGAGTAACAATTTGTTATTACAATATTTACTTATTTTGGCAAATGAATTTAAGATTCATTGCGTTAGAAAAATGCATTTGTCATAGATTGATAGAACATAATGCTTGAGTGATAACACTTATTTGAAGCAATTACATTATTCTCAAAGCCTACTCTTGGTGAAGGTGGGGTGCGATGAGGAGATGGAGCAGGAGGATGAGGAGGCGGGGGACAACAAGGAGGAGGCGGAGGAGATCGACCCCGAGGTGGTGGTGCATGACCACATGGTGTCGGACGACTTCTAGGTGGCTTTCTTGCAAGTTCCCCACCAAATAGAGTTTGCAGCATCTCTTCTTCATTCAAAACTTCATCATTCTTGTTGATCCCCAGAAATGACATCATGAGTAAAAAAGAGAATAACTAAGTAACTGGACCATAGAGGGGTCAACAGATAGGGTCTATCCCCCTGCCTATGGTTGGGGCCAAAAGTAAAGGACTCTGGGTCATCCAAGAATGACCTTAGACATCGATGTCCAAGTCGTCAGTGCTGCCTCACAAGAGAGTCAGCTTCACCAGCTCCAGATAGGTATGTGAACCGAGCTCCCCTTCTCACGAGCTGACTAAAGAAACAGAAGGTCGTCCCCAAAGCAGAATGACCTCATACTAAGCTCTTTCATAATCTTGGGGGACCACAACACACCCCGAACTGAGGGATAGGGCTCAAAGACACCTCAACATATTCTAGAATGCTACGTCACTTGTTCTCCATCACTAAGAGGAGAGTTGGCTGCCCTTCCTCCTGATGGGCTTGGAGCGACTTGCTGTTTAAATTAGCAGATTCGAGGTGGTAAGGACAACTACCACTCAGAGGAACAACGGGAGGGGAGTATATAGGGTTCATCGTTTGGAGGTGATGGTTCAGAGGTGGAAAACACTGACAATTTATAGGGGATGCATGGCCCTTTGGACATGGAAATGACAACATTTTTGTGAAAATACTTTATGAATGGAAGCCAAGTGCCTTTTGCATTCTTCCATGCAAAACTGATGAAGCCATAAGTGAAAATTGCAAATAGGTTTAAAAGGAATGAGTTGGGAATACTATTTGTTAATTCATTGAATTTGGTGGGACTCTAGGTGGCTCTACAGGCCTCGGGTCGACACATGGAATAATGAAGCCGTTGGGATGTCCAAAGGGCGCCGAGGAAGTAAGCCGAGGTATGGTGACATTGAACAGTCGGGTACGACAACTGATATCGTATTTAACGTGATGTGACCCCTCATTTATAGCGGAATGAGTGAAAATGACAAGACAAATAAATACGAGCCTGCCAGCACCTGCCCTCTGGAAGTCTAAGCCTACTGTCATGATAGCTAAGCATTAATGACTGATGCACCGAGATGACGCGATCAACTCCCCCGAGGAACTGTTCCCCTCGAGTATTCAATGCTTAGTTGATGTCGGATGTCGATATGGGGGATTTGGGTACTCGGGGAGTGGCATGAATGCTCGGCATTTGGCCGAGCATTTACCCCATTTTTCTAGCATTCAATAAGAGGAGATGTGAGTAGAAAACACTCATTGCACGAGGAATGGTGTGTCAGATGTAAAATGTTCAGATGAGACTGAAGATCTTTGACAATCATTGCTAGTTTAAGTATAAATACTCCTCAAAAAAATGGACAAAAGGACGCAAAATTGAATTAGAAAAATAGTCCATTGAGCAAAACTCTTCCACTTTATACTAACTTAAGCTTCCGATGGAATTAGCCGGGCGCTCGCCTGACCCCATTTTTTTTGACCCTGTTGTTTCAGGTTCGCCAGCTTAGAGATCACTGTCTCATACTATTGCAGGAATTATCCCGTGCAATTTGGCGCTATTTGTGGGAAACGAAAGCATTTTTCCCGATAGCGATCGTCTGATGGTGAACACTCGATCTCAAGGTGAGGGAGAAAGTGTACGGGCCAGGAACACAGAGCCCGTTCGGCTTCCAATGGTTCGGGAGCTAAGTTCATTGGGCCAGTTAGATGGAGTGGGGCATTCTTTGCAAAGAATGCTCCCTATGGATCCGGGCCTTGGGGGCGCGACCTCATGGCCCATGACATCGTTGAGATGGTGGAAAAGCAGATGAGCAAACACATTAAGCAGCTTGAAAGGGAAAACGCCAAGGTCCAGCAACGCCTTGACGATTTCGAGCAGTTAGCGAGCGCGGGTGAACATAGTAGCGGGTTCGGGGACCAAGTGCTTAGCCAGAACCTGTCTAGGCCCCCCTGGCATTGGCCCTCTAAGAAAGATTGAATTAGGCACTCGCCTGAGGGACGTAACCGCCAAGGAGGGTTCTCGGCCTCCGAGGGGAAGTCGAAATTGGGCTAGAAGGCAAGCCTATCCCGGTGGGACCTGCGCCAAGGGATACTCGAAGGTGTCGGAGCCACCGAATCACAAGCGGACTCCATATCCCGAAGGACTCGAGAAGAAAGATCAAAAAAGGATTTTAGGGTCCCTTTCGTTGCTCAGCACAACCATGAGCCCGAAGTCTACTCCGAAGAAGTTATCTCACCGTTCTTTTGGGCTATCAGGGAGGCCGAGATGCCAAAGAAGTTTACCGTCCCACGGGTCAAAGTCTATGATGGGAAAATTGATCCCGAGAGCCACTTTCGGCAATACAGACAATTGATGTCAATCTATGATACTGACCAAAGGGTGTTGTGCTGAGTTTTTTCCATGAGCCTAGGGGACACATGCATGAGGTGATATGAGAACCTTGCTTCTAAGAGCGTTAGGTCCTAGAAACAATTGACAGAGCTCTTCATAGCTCGATTCATCACCAGCAGTAAGAAATCGAAGGACATCGACGCTCTGTTGACGCTTAGGCGGAAATGGGGAGAGACACTTCGACAATATGTCATCTGGTATTAGGATGAAGTGAATGAGGTAGAAGCATGTTCAGAGGCATTGGCCGCGACGTCATTTAAGTTGGGGCTGTCGCGGAACACTGATTTGTACAAATCGCTGACTAAGAAGGCTCCGGCGGACATGAAAGACTTGATGGCTTGGATTAACAAATATGCCCGGGTGGAAGAAGAATCCATCACGCCTGAGAGTAAGGACACGGTGCCAAGAAAAAGGGAAAGGGAGCAGCCGGCCCAAAGGGGAGGGCCTGTTCCACCCCCAAATCGCCTATCCTTCTAGGGAGTGAACACGGTCTTTAACGAGCCCATTCACAGGATACTTCCCAAAATCAAAAATAAACCCTACTTCAAGTGGCCCTCGAGGATGTTTGGAGACCTGTCGACAAGGAATGCGGCCTTCCGATGTTCATATCATAGAGATATCGGCCATTTGACGGAGGATTGTAAGGTTTATAAATTCTTCCTCGAACAATTGGTGCGAGATGGACATCTCGGGGAATTCATTGACAGGGGTCGTCCCGACGCTGATCTCGGCAGGGTGGTCCTCCCTTACAAGGATGCATTAGTGATCACTTTGCGGGTCGGGAAGTTTGATGTTAAGAGGATCTTGGTGGATTCGGGCAATTTTTTCGAGGTGATATACAATCACCTCTTTCGCAAGATCGAACTCTCTTAGGGAGATCTGGAACCCGTAAAAACTCCCCTTATCAGCTTTAATGGTTCCAGCGCCCTGCCCCTTAGAAAAATCACCCTCACGGTACGGGCGGGGGTAGTGGCCACACCAGTGAAATTTGTGGTGGTGGACTTTGACTCCCCTTATGACGCTATTATGGGAAAATCGTGGTTGCATGTAATAAAGGCGGTCCACTCATCCTATCACCAAAAGATAAAGTTCCCAACACTACAGAGCATAATGAAAATTCGGGGTGACCAGGCGTCGGCAAAAAGCTGTTTCTATGCTGCGGTGAAAACGGGAGTCAGCGACCGGAGTCAGGAGCGTGATCCCGATGCGGTGGTTGCCAAATAGCAATCACAGAGCGGTCGTCCAGGAGTGGACGAGCCCATTACAGAGCCGGCCGGCCGGTCTACTGAGGCCTTGGTGAAGATTCTCTTGAGCCCAGATAACGGTGAAAAGTATTTTTTGGTAGGAGAGTCACTCAACGGCGCAGAGAGAAATGATATGGCCTCGTTTTTATGCCTCAATGCCCATGTCTTTGTGTGGACCCAGGCCGAGATGACAGGGATAAGTGCCGAGGTGATAACTCATCGGCTCCATGTGAATTCCTCATTCAAACCTGTTAGGCAGAAGGCCCGAAGAACGGCGCCTCACCATGCGAAGGTTGTAGATGAAGAGGTGGATAAGTTGTTGGGGGCAGGTTCCATCAAGGAGGTACAGTTTCTCCAGTGGTTATTCAATACAGTGTGCGCCAAGAAGAAAGAAGAGAAATGACGAGTTTGCGTGGATTTACGGACCTGAACAAAGCTTGCCCCAAGGATAAGTACCCCTTGCCCCAGGTTGATTAGTTGGTAGACGCCACAGCTGGCCACAAGCGCATCACTTTTATGGATGCTCGGGCTGGATATCACCATATTTTCTTGCATGAATCAGATCAGGAGAAAACGACGTTCATCATGCCCCGATGGATTTACTGTTACATAGTGATGCCTTTTAGGTTGAAGAATACTGGGGCGACCTATCAACGTTTGATGAACAAAATTTTCAAAAACCAGCTCGGCAACACGATGGAGGTGTACATTGATGATATGTTGGTCAAAAGCAAAGAGGGGGCCGACCATCTCTATGATCTCGGGACAACATTCATCCTCCAGAAGTATGACCTAAAACTAAATCCCTCGAAATGCGCCTTTAGAGTGAGCTCAGGTAAGTTTTTGGGGTAGTTGGTTACTCACTAGGGGATCGAGGCGAACATCGAGTAGATACAAGCAATCCAGAATGTCTGGGCGCCTAGGACCATTAAGGATGTTCAAAAATTGGCCAGGATGTTGGCAGCCCTTAACAGATTTATTTTCAAGTCGTCCGATAAGTGCAAACCATTTTTTGTCAAGTTAAGGGGGGCGGCTAAGGGGGTTTGGGATGAGGAATGTGGTCGAGCTCTTGAAGGGATGAAGGAGTACTTGAAACATCCTCCGACTTTATCTATTTCGACGATAGGGGAGGGGCTTAGCCTTTACTTGTCTGTATCTTGAGACGCCGTTAGTGGAGTACTGGTCAGGGATAGCGAAGGGGCTCAAAGACCCGTGTATTTCATAAGCAAGACCTTGCTTGACGCTGAGACTAGGTACTCTCCAATGGAGAAATTGGTCTTGGCATTGGTAATCTCAGCGAGAAAACTTTGACACTACTTCCAGGCTCACGCCATAGACGTCCTTACAGACCGACCTCTCAAGCCGATCCTTCACAGGGCCGATATGTCCGGGAGGGTTGCCAAATGGATTGTAAAGCTCGGGGAGTTTGAAATCAGGTACA